GGGATAATATATGAATATGTCTTTTATTTTCATGCTTAAATAAATATTTCACACTCTCACATTAAATGCAAAAATAAATAGACTTTTACTGGCAGTGCACAAGTGGTTAATTGCAAAGCAAATAATATCTATTAACAGGGATACATTTCAAGGTAGCCTCTGAATTGTGAGTTTAGTATTGTGAGCACCATTTTTATTTTTTCCTCTGTATTTTGAAGATTTGCATAATGTACTCTGTTACTATTGCTTAGGGGTAGTGAGGAGTTACAAAATCACACAAATGCCTAGAAGTATCATGAATGATTAAATCCTGTGTATTAAAGAGAACACAAATTAGAATGTGCTTTGTGGGGGAGAGTGTTTGTTAAAATTAGTTCCCTACTTTTATAGACTCTCTTGTGAACCAGACTCCTGATATTAGGCCCTGAAGATATTACATGGAAATGAACCGTATTGATTTCAGTAGGGCTTTTTTTTTATTTTATTTTTTTTACTTAGAATGCTTAGGCTTTGGTCCATATTTTAAAAGGGAAAAATTTATATCAAGGAACTAAATAAAGCATTTCATCCATGGTCCAAAACACACTGCAGAAATAATCCAGTTTGAGACTGCTTTAACTGCTCTGGCTCAGCGCTAGGGAATTCTATTACAGACAAGTGGGTCCTAGAACAAACCAAGCCGGAAACCTACCTGGAAGAAGACCAAACTGCGGCTGTTGTACTTTAGACACATCATGAGAAGGGATGACTCTTTGGAAAAAACAATAATGCTGAGGAAAGTGGAGGGAAGTAGGAAGAGAGGAAGCCCACATGTCAGATGGATGGACTCTATTAAGGAGGTCACGGGTATTAAGGGGTTGCAGGAATTGAGCAGAGCAGGGGAGGACAGAGGGTCTTGCAGATGTCTCATCCATAGGGTCTCCATGAGTCCAGATTGACTTGAAGGCAGTTAACAACAACAAATATATATCTTCATTCATCTATCTCAAAACTTGAATGACCTTCCGGAGAAGATCTGTCACACTGCCACCTTAACAGCCTTTTAAAAAGGCAGTTAAGATGGATCTCTTCTGGCAGGCCTTCCCAGAATAGCCCTCCACCCCCTGTATAACAAACATATGGCCCCCTCTACTTTGTGATCATAACTATCTTCGCCCCATGTTCTTCTGCTAGTTTTAGTTGACATTTTAGCCAATTTATTAGGATCATTTTGTAATTGATTTTACTTTATATTTTAACTGTTTTGGTTATTGTTGAAACTTAGGGGTTGGGAAGGGGATTGCTTTTTATGTAACTTCTGTATTATTGTTTTCTTATTGTACTTTTTATTTTTATGTTTGTAACTTGGCTTGATTCCCTTTGGAAATATGCGGGCTATAAATAAATCATATTACTATTATTATTATTATTATTATTATTATTATTATTATTATTATTGATTTTGCCATTTTATGTAAGCGACACCATTTTACTATCTTTGTATTTAATGGAACTTGAACATCCATGAATTTTGGTATCCATGGGGGTGGTCTTGGAAGCAAACTGCAGCAAATATCAAGTCCCTACTGTATTCCCTCTATTGTCACTATTTAGATTATCATTTTTTTCCATTCCATGTTCTTACATAAGCATTTATTTTTCCCACTAAATATATGATCATAGGAAGTTACCTTCTATGGAATGAGATTATCGACCTATCCAGCTGATGCAGTAGTTCAGAGGTCTCAGTCCAAGAGCTTTCATGTTTGTGGAAGAGTCTTTTATCTGAAGATTTTAGAGACTGAATCTTCTATATACTAAGCATGCACTCTTTTTCCTCTGGCTGCTCCTCTGGCATAATATACACCTCCTATTCAGGATAAAGAAGTGGATATAGTCTTTTAGTTATTTTACAATGTGTTACTCTTGGTAGTATCCATTTAGTTATTGGCCCATATGTTACTATTCTCTGTAAATCAATCACTAGTCATGTGAGGCTTTTAAAGGATGGGAAATGGGACTTCATCAACCTTCATTGCCATTGAATGTTTTGACAATGTTGAGGAACAGACTCAGCCATGAAAGTTAGAAACTGTTTTTAGCCTATGAGAGATCAGGTGTACAGTTGGAGATATGCTTACAAACATATTCTGAAGCTTTTGATCATATGCTGCAGGAATCCCCAGTGGGAGATTTCTACAGGGACAAATATTAATTGCAGCCCTATGGAAAATGTGTAATGGGCCATCTCTGCTGAACAAAATGAAATATTACAGAAAGTTTTTTTTAAAAAAAAATCCTGCAGACAAGGTGAGATAAATAGTATCAAGTGAGCTAAGAAAGTTTTGTGAAATACTGGCTGTTATTGGTTTTCTCCTTTTTCCTAGAATGTTGTTTTCAACAATTCTTGTTTTTAACAATTGTGCTTAAATGTGGGTGTACAGCACAAGGACATAACAACCCATAAGGAAGATTTAAAAGCCAATAATAATGCCATCAAGCAATAATGTTAACACAGTTGCTATTAACTACCTAATGCAAATTAGTTTTATACTTTTAAAAAGCTCTTTTGACTGAAATTTGAAGTAGTATAATGAAAGTCCATTTAATTTGACCTAGTTTTGAAGTAGGTAATGAATGTTTGCAGCAGTTCTTTTGGAAACTAGTAAAGTATCCTCTATAATATTACATAATATCCCCAAATGTATTGATCAGCCAATAGTTTCCACTAAGGCATTTCCTGGTTTATCATATTCACCGTAAATCCAAAAATGGAACAAAATGGAGTCGAAGGAGAAAGCAGTGGCAAATTAATCTTGCATCATCTGGTTTCATTACTTTGATAACAGGTAAAACTAATTTTGTAATTATATGAAACACTGAGTGAGACTAATGAGAGGACAGTGAGCGTGTGGCCCAATTCAGACATAAGTACAGTTGCTCCTCTGTTCTTGTGGACTTGAGATCTGCGGTTTTGAATATTCATGGAGGGCTAACCTCTATTAACATCAATGGGGTATGTCTGCAGGGGTGTACCCCTTACAAGCCTATGGGGCTGGAATATTTGTGAGTCTCCATTTTCGGGGTGTGTGTGTCTGGAATGGATCCCCCATGAAAATGAAGGGCCGACTGTAATACTAATCCCTTGGTTTGGAACAGTATTAACAAACTAAGGAAATGTTGAGTTCATGTACTACTACCCTATGCATCCAGTTCAGATCGAATGAATTCATCTCATATTTTAAGTAGTGGTGGCTTATCATTACATGTGAACTGCAGAAGATCTGGTTAAATTATTCTCTTGTATCTGTTCATGTGATGATCCAGCATGGTGTAATGGTTTGAGCATTGGACGATGATTTTGGACACCAGGGGTCGAATTCTGCTCAGCCATGGAAACCCACTGGGTGGCCTTGGGCAAGTTACATTCTCTCAGCCTCAGGGGGAGGGAAAAGCCAACACCCTCTGAACAAATCTTGCCAAGAAAACCCTATGAAACTCTGGCTAGGGTCACCATAAATTGGAAATGCCTTGAGGGCACATAACAAGTCTGTTCATGTAGTACTAAACAGAGGTTTATGTCATTGAATCATAGAGTTGGAAGAGACCACAAGGGCCATCCAGTCCAACCCCCTGCCATGCAGGAACTCAAAATCAAAGCATCCCCAGTAGATGGCCATCCAGCTTCTGTTTAAAGACCTCCAAAAAAGGAGACACCACCACACTCCAAGGAAGTGTGTTCCACTGCCAAACAGCCCTCACTGTCAGGAAGTTCCTCCTAATATTGAGGTGAAATCTCTTTTTCTGTAGCTTGCATCCATTGTTCCGGGTCCTGTTCTCTGGAGCAGCAGAAAACAAGCTAGCTCCCTCCTCAATATGACAACCCTTCAAATATTTAAACAGGGCTGTCATATCACCTCTTAACTGTCTCTTCTCCAGGCTAAACATACCCAGTTCTCTTAAGTCATTCTTCATAGGGCATGGTTTTCAGACCCTTCACCATTTTAGTCGCCTTCCTCTGGACATCCTAAAGTAACTATTGCAGATCAGTTACCGTAAAAACAATTAAAGGGAAACCAATCATGACACAGGAGATGGGGCCAATAGGGCAGTGTGAACATCATTATATAGTGTGGAAAAGAATACAGTGGAAGTTACACTATTAAAGTGTAAATGAGGTGAGGGTGCTATGCATATAATCAGCATTCAGCTATCGTTGTGAGTATAAGTGAAGTGGTTTTCAAATCTGGCAACTTGAAACAATTGACTAGTGTAATAACCCCTTCAGACATAAACCATTGTTCAGTACTACATGAACAGATTTCTTGTTGTGTGCCTTCAAGTTTTTTCCTTTGCAGGTAACTCTGCTCTGAGCTAGACATTCAAAGAGGTTCCATTTAGAATACACACACACACACACACACACACACACATGATTTAGCAGTGATGTTGTAAAGCTTGTAGCAGACTACAGTGAGGATAAAAACGAAAGAAGGGTTTGGTAGGGATCATTCATGGTAAAGAATTGTTCGATTAGTGCCATAAATAGTATTAGAAACCAAGAACCCAACATTCAGCAGGTTGGTTCACATGGATATGTAAAATTCAGACATCTCTTTGTTCTAGCTAGTTCCACTATTCTTGGGTTCTCAGGATCCTAGCCTCCCAAGGGATCTTGTTTGTTGACTTTATTTGGAGTACACAGCCACATGTTTCCCCAACCTATCATTTGATTTTTCACAGCATAGTAGGGGTGGTTCCCTACCATGAATTCACCAACAGCACAGTGGTTGAGCTGTTCTAATTCTGTTATTTAATAGAGATGAGCAGTGAATGGTCTTTTCAATTCATCATGCAGATGTTGTTGTTGTGTGCCTTGAAGTCATTTCCAACTTATTATGTCTCTAAGGTGAGACCATCTAGGAGCTTTCTTGGCAAGATTTGTTCAGATGGGGTTTGGCTTTGCCTTCCTTTGAGGCACAAAGAATGTGACTTGCCCAGGGTCACCCAATGGGTTTCTGCAACTGAGCAGGGTTTTGAACCCTGGCTTTCAGAGTCATAGTCCAGCACTCAAAGCACTACGCCACACTGGCTCACTATTATACAGCATATCTATACTAAATATCTAGGGATATGTTTTTAAAAAGTAGTGTCTGCTTCTCAATGGCATGGTATTGGCAAGCTCATTACCCAACAGGAAAAAAAAGCATTAAGTGACAATGCTGTGGATATGTCCTTTACACACTGAGAACGTCTGTGTGTGTGTATGGGATGACATGAAAATCCACCCTTCTCTGATAGAACTTGGCTCTAGTCTTTTTGTGGCTTCAGTTCTAACACTGACGTAAGTACTCACTTGGTATAAAAATAGCGTAGCAGACACCCTTTTCTTATGTGTGTGATGCCACTTGAACTGAAACCTATACACATCAGACTCTATGAGCATCTTTTTAGAATAGTTGTATGTCGTTTTTTTTCATGATAACAACTAATGTGTTATTGTTATATAAGATGAAGTTTTCAGGATTTAGTATTTGAAAGACAATAGAAGAGTCAAAATGTTTTTGCTCTCTGTGGACTGCTATGACATTAAAACTTTACTGGGATTATAATGCTGTAAAATTGATCTAATTTTCTTCCCTCTACATCCTTTCATTTGAACAATCAGCACTAATGTCTGCCTGCACAGGTGTGTACCTTTAGATTACCCTGCTCATTTGTCTTTATTACCTAGCCTGTGAATATTCAAAGGCTGCTTGCCGGTTACAGTGAGCAATTTTGTTCTCTGTTGGATTCATGCTGAGGACGTAGTCTAATAGAAGGCAGCAGCATATTAATCTGTGACCTTGCAGCAATATGTATTTTGCATCCTACTGGTGTATTGGAATGATCCAGTAGACACTGCATACATGGACTTTCAAATAGCTTTTGACAAAATCCCTTAGCAAAGGGACCTGAGCAAATGTCGTGGTCAGAATAGTACAGCTTATTTTCTGGGTTTGTAATAGTAACTGATTAAATAACAGGAAGCAGAGAATAGAAATGAATACTCTGTTCTGACAGTACAGGCATACCTAAGTTAACAAAGGGGGGGATGTGGACGGGTGGCCATGGGCCGTCCTGACAAGTGGAGGATTGGGGCCAAGGTTGCCCCATGCCTTGGCCCCAATCCACCCTTTCGGCGACTGGGAAAGGAGCGCCAAAATAGCACTCCTTTCCCAAGCTGCGGAAAGAGCACCGCAAGAGCCGCCATGCGGCTTTTTTGCGCCTCTTCTGGCGCAGTACCTCTCTTTTTTCATGGTCCTCTTTCTAGCTGGATGGTCTTTTTTTAGTGGAACTGGTACTGGGAGGAAGTTGAAGGAGGGTTGAAGACTTCAAGTTGCAGCTGTGTGCCCGCAGTAAACAATACAATAAATTTTCTGCAGATTCAGCAGATTCATTCTTTCTTTCACTCATCACATACTCATTTATTCTATCATACACAGAGTCAAACAGAAACATTCATTATCAGGACAGTGATGGGATGGGTGGGAGAAGAAGAAGAATGGGCTTTGCCACAGGCCATGATCCTGTGAGCTTCCCTGCTCTCTGTCTTCTCCTCCTCCCTTAGGTAGAGCCAGCTGCTATAAATGCCCTTTCTTATCTTCCAGGTCAGAAAAAGTTTGGGAAGTGGAGGAGATGAAGGAGGAATGATTAGGGCCTCCAAGTCTTGCACCCCCCCCCCCCCTTTGAGCAACTTTTGCACTCTACCCCACACCATTTGAGAACCACTGGCCTAAAGCTGAACAATGAGGATGCTAAGTTTGCCAAAGATACCAAATTTCCCACAAATTATTCATAGTATATATCACAGGTTTGCCAAAGAATATTCAGCATATTAAAAACTAAATAGGATTGCGAACAAATTTTAAAAAAGTATTTTCCAAAAGGGTGATCAAATGGCTGGTGTGGTCCAGTATATCTAATAAACCCTAAATTCACATATACATTGATGAGTAATGGATGGGAGGGGGCAATAAACAGGCTCCAGACAGGTCAAGGTTCTCTCAGTAAGTAGTTGGTCTAACAAGTAAAGTGTATTCAACCTGTTCTAAGTTGAATTGCATTCCTCAGGAGCAGAATTGTATGTAGTAAGGTTGAAGTGTTGTGGTTGCCTGTGTTCACTTTTGACTAATATACCAGCTACAGAAATAGCCTGGACAGAGATAGTCTGGCATCACTGAATACTGTAACTTGTGATATGTGGCAGCCCTACCTTTGAAAATATTCCAGAAAGTTCAGTTTCCAAATAAGAGAAAAATTTAACTTAGATAAAAAACTAAAAAAACATTCAAGAAGCTGATCCGGGCATCGAAAAAATAATTAAATCAGATGGTAATCATAGAATTAAAAAAGTTTTATGAAATACTGCTAAAAATGGAACTAGAAGATGAAACAGTAAAGACACAGATGATAAAATGGGCACAGGATTTTGGGCAAAGTGTAAGTCTTGATCAATGGGAAAGAACATGGCTAAAAAGACTGAAATACTTCTCAAGTTTTTATTTGAGAGAAAATTTCTATAAGATGTTTTATAGGTGGCATCTCACCCCTTATAAATTATCAAAAATATATAAAAATGAAAGTAAAACTTGTTGGAAATGTGAGAAAGATGTTGGTACATTCTACCACATATGGTGGAACTGTACAAAAGCAAAAGAATTTTGGAAGGAGATATATGAAACAACCAAAAAAGATATTAAAGATTAAATTAAAAAAGGATCCGATGAGGTATCTGTTAAGTGTTAATCAGGAAGATCAAATAGAATGTGAATATGGACCTCTTCTCTTTAGCATAACCATGGCTGCAAAGTTAATATATGCATCTAAATGGAAAGAAAAAAAAATCCCAGACTGGATTTTGAAGATTTATGATCTAATGGAAAATGATAAGTTAACTCAACTGTTACAAAAAAACAAACCAAAAACCTATAGAAGAGTTTGAGAATAAATGGAAGCCTTTTATAGAATACTTGAAAAAAAAAATGGGGAGAACAATGGATAATAGGATTAAAGAATTAAATTCCAGAGTAAATGAAAATCCTGAGATAGACCTCCCGTTTTTAGTAAAAGGGAGGTACCGAATAGATAAATTATGTCTATGTGGTTTGTAACCTTGTTAGGTATATGTTATAGGAATGTTATGGATTTATATATAATGCTATGTTATAGATATATATATAATGTAATGTTGTAGATAAATACGTAATGTAAGTTAGACATATAAGAAATTGCTAAAGATTATATATGTTTTGATTCACATTATACATAGAAAAAATATACAATATATACTACAATTGTATGGGAAGAACAAAGAGATATTGATAAGGAATAATCCGATAGTTTGAGAGAAGGAAGATTCTCTTCTATATGTAAGTTTATAGTCTGTTAGATATTTTAGATGTGGTGTAATTGTTACTGTTTTGTTAGTCTTAAATGTGTTCATGTTATTGTCTTTTTTATGTTTATAAGTCTTTTTATGTGATTGTTTTTGTTGATTTTATGTTAAATGTTTTTTAAAAAATCAATAAAATTATATATATATATATATATATATATATATATATATATATATATATAATAATAATCCAGAAATTCAGTTAGACCAGAATAGAGTAGCAAGATTGTGTGCTGATAATTGTTGTTTTTAACACATTATTCCAGTACTACTTGAGCCACACTGGTTTCCAGGCCTGATTCGAAGAGTTGGTATGAAGTTTTAAATTCCAAAGCTGTTTGATACCAGTCTATTTGAAGGAGTACCTCCTTCCTTATGTTCCTGCCCAATGGTTATGATAATCTTTGGAGGTTCTTTTCTGAGTATTGCTGCCCAAAATAATACGACAGATGGCTAGTAAGGATATTTAAATTCAATGATAGAAATTTGGATACCAAAATGAGATCTTTTTCTTCTTGAAAGAAAGCCCATGCAACCATCTGAAGTCACATTTGGTGAGAAAGGTGAGATACAGATCTTGTAATTATAACAATAAGAACAATTTGGTTTTATTATCAGCTATACCACCCCTTTTACTATTTTAATTTTGAAACAGTTATTATTTTTCAGTTATTTTTATTGATAGACTTGATGTTATGATTTGTAGCTTCTTCAAGAGGATTTGCTGGTTGAACTATGCAGAACTATATAGATTTTTGCTCAAATCAGCTCCTTTTAGATTATTATAAATCCACTAATTTTTTTTCCTGTCCTCCATTCTAAAACAACTGGCTGGACATATGTGCCCTTCCACTTTTGTTGGAGCTTTATTTCCAGTGCAGGTGTTTGGAGAAATTCAAGCAAGACACAGAAACTGAAAACAAAGAAGTGTTATAGGTGGTGGTGGACTTTTAGTAGGGCAGATTAATTTGCAAATGCTAAAGATGTGGAAAGAGGGACACTTAAGAACTCATTTGATTACATTAGTGTAGCTTGTGCAAGAACACTGTCCACATGAATTTTCATATGGATTTTAAAAATTGCAAAATATGTGAAAATGAAATGGAATAAATTTAAAATAAAAACAGATGAGAAACTGAAAAATGTATCCCAACTCGTGTAGGAGTAGGTAACATACCTTTGAATGCCCATGGCTGGAGAACAGGAGAAAACTGGTGTGCCCTTGTGTTCTGTTTATAGCATTTTGTTGGTCTCTGTTGGAAGCACAGCACTGGACTAGACAAGTTTTTGTTCTGATCCACTCAGGCTGTTACTTTATTTTTATAATCAGAATTGTTCACCATGATAGGCCTTTGGACTCTTCTCAACAGAAGAAAGAGACAGCAGTGGACTATGATTCTGGAGACCAGGGTTTGATTCCCAGCTCAGCCATTAACTCACTGGGTGACCTTAAGCAAGTCACATGCTCTCAACCTCAGGGGAAGGCAATGGGAAACTTCCTCTGAACAAATCTTGCCAAGAAAACCTCATCTTGCCTTGTGGTCACCATAAGTCAGAAATTACTTGAAGGCACATGACACAAGCACACACACTGAAACCTGATTTAATACTGCCAGCTCTCAGTCACAACTCTTTGCGTTGGCTCTGCTTTTCTTC